AAAAAAAAAAAAAAAAGAAAGAGAAGAAAAAAAATTTGAGCAGAAGGTTGCCATTATGTGATATATGTTTTATTTTTAATTTTTAATTATTATGGACACTTAATAGTTGTAGATCTTTATAAGGTACATATGATGTTTTGATGTAGGCATATCGTGTGCATTAATCAAATCAGGGTAATTGGGGTATCCAGCACCTAAGGCATTTAACATTTGTGTTAGGAACATTCCAGTTCCACTCTTTTAGTTATTTTAAAGTATGCCCTAACATGTTGATTATAGTCTCTTTGTTATGCTAATAGACCATCATGGTTGTTTATCCTATCCTATTACCTTGCCTAGCCTCTGATAACCATCATTCTATTCTATCTCCATGAGATCAATTGTCTTTAATATTTACCTCTCACATATGAATAAGAAAGAACATCTGAGATTTGTCTTTCTGTGTTTGGCTTATTTCACTTAACATAATGATCTCCATCCAGTTCCATCCCTGTTGTTGGCAATGTCAGGATCTTACCGCTTTCGTGACTGGGTAATATTCCAATGTGTGTATGTACCACAATTTCTTTATCCATTCATTTGCTGATAGACATTTAGGTTGATGCCATAGTGTGGCTATTGTGAATATGGGAATAAATGTGCTATTTGTTTTTTTTTTTAAATCTTTTTTTTTTTTTTTTTACTATTCTTTATTTTTTTGTTGTTGCACTTTGCGAGGGCTGGGATTGAACTTACCACCCTTGGTATATGGGGCTGACACCCCACTCACTGAGCCACAGGCACCACCCGCATCTGCTATTTGATATGCTGAATTCCCAGGTTTTGGATATTTACCCAATGGTGGGATTTCTGGGTCATATGGTAGTTCTGTTTTTACTTTTTTGAGGAACTTTCATAGTGGCTGTTTCAATAGTGGCTGCACTGATTTACATTCCCACCAACAGTGCACGAGGGTTCCCTTTTCAACTTCCTCGCCATCATTCGGTATTGCCTGTCTTTTGATGGAAGCCATATTAACTGGGGTGAGATGATATGTCATTTGTAGTTGTGACTTGCTTTTCTCAGATGACGTTGGGCGTTTTTCATCTACCTATTGGCTGTTTGTATGTCTTGTTTTCAGAAATAATATCTATTCAGATTCTTTGCTCATTTTGATTAGATTAATTGATTTTTTCCTTTTGAGTTACCAGAGCACCTTTATATATATATATAAATATATATATATTTATATTTATATATATATAGTTAGTTAGTTTATTAATTCCTTGTAGATGAGTAGATTGCAAATATTTTCTCCCATTCTGTGGGCTATCTCTTCACTTTGCCGATTGTTTACTTTGCTCTGCAGAACCTTTTTAGCTTGATGTGATCCCATTTGTCCAATTTTGTTTTGGTTGCCTGGGCTTTGGGAGTATGAGTAATAAAGTTCTTGCCCAGACCAATGTTTTCTTTTAGCATTTCCCCAATGTTTTCTTTTAGTAGTTTCATAGTTATAGCTCTTAGATTCAAGTTTTTAGTCCATTTTGATTTTTTTTTTTTTTGTATATGTATGTGGTGAGAGATGAGGATCCCGTTTCATTCTGCTATACATGGGTATCCAATTTACCCAGGACCATTTATTGAAGAGACTGTCCTTTCTCCACTGTATGTTCTCAGCAGAACATATCCTCCTTTGTCGAGGATAAGTGCACTATTAGAGTTTGCATTTATTTCTCAGTTCTCTGTTCTGTTCCATTGGTCTAATGTGTTTGTTTTTATGCCAATACCATATTGTTTTGGTAACTACAGCTCTGTAGTATAATTTGAAGTGAGGTAATAGGATTCCTCCAATTTTGTTCTTTATGCTTAAAGATGGCTTTGACTCTTCTGGATCTTTTGTGGTTCCATGTAAATTTTAGGGTTATTTTTTCTATTTCTGTGAAGAATGTCATTGTTATTTTTATGGGGATTGCAATGAATCTGTAGTTTGCTTTGGGAATTACAAACATTTTAACAATATTGATTATTTTAATCCATGAGCATGCACTCCAGCTGCAATGTGTAGGGGCTATAAAAGGGGAAGTGAGGAGGTCAGGGCAGGCCTGGGAGAAATGATGGGGATGTGGACTGGAGGCAGGGGACAGCGGTGGAGTTGCTCAGAGATACTCCTGGCTAAATTTTGAGGAAATTGAGGGTAGAATTAGCTAATGGCTTGCATGAGGGGGGTGTATGTGAAAGAAAGGAGTCAGCAACAACTCCAAGGTTTTGGTTTGAGCAGCTGGAACAATGACTAGCCCTTGACTGAGACAGGGAAGGGATAAATTTGGGGAGAAGTATCTTGAGTTAGTCTGACTGGAATTCCGGAAGCCAGAACTGGGATGGGAGTGAGTGGGGCTGGACCGTAGGCTTCCTTTCCAACATCTGAAAAAAGGGGAACTGGTTTTGAGTCTTGCATGAAGAGGAAAGGGGTGGAAGCAGGGAATGCTGCAACGTGAAGTGGAGCATAACTGGGTTCTAAAACAACAGAAGACAGGTCAGACTGACTTCAGGCATCTTCCCAGTGGTCCTGAAGTGGAGAGTTTGGTGGAATAGAGAGCTGAAAGGGGGCAGCAGGAATTTGGGAAGGAAGCCCAGGGGGCAGCAGCAATCTGCAAGGGCCTTGAGGAGGAAGTAGGATCTGAGCTGAGCTGTTGAGCAGGGACCTGAGTTTGCAATGCAGATGTAGATGAGAAAGAGAGAGAGAATGGGTGCAGGGTGCACACAGTCAAATGAACAGAAACCTGGATCTGGGAAGGATCCCAAAGACTTAATTGCAAACCATTCTGAGGACCTAAATTAGGGAATGGTGCAGGGAGTTGGGCTGGAAACTCAAAGGCCTGGAAAGCTCAGAGCTGGACAGAGAAGTCTGATGAAAGTGGACAGGAGTGACTAAAGAGCAGGAAACTGGCAGGCAGCTACAGTGTGGTTTGAACAGGGAACACTTGGTTGTTGCATATTTTCTTGATGATCTGAAAGAAAAAGTAACACCAACTTCACTTTCATTTTCTCCCCCACGTCTTTACTATTCTAACTATAAAACCTGCAGGAGAAATACTTGCTATCAGGCAGACACTATATGAATAGGCCAATTTTCTGGACCATCAGTTTCCAATGGGACTGAATTAAGTTTCTACCATAGTACATCCTTTTAAAGACTATAATTATGGGGTCACTTAAAAGTTTGGGCCTACTCTAATCCCAAGAGATATGTACTTTCAGTAGATAATTCTTTCCTAGGCAACTGAGGCTTTTACAATGAATAGAAATGTAATAGCATATACTATAATATATTGTAATAATAATGCTGTATACATTATAAAATTATAAACGTGTTATTTATTATAACATTCATAATCACATAATTTAGATGAAAGTTATATGTATTTATACATATGCACTCTTACATTGAGTTAGCTGTAAGACACAAATTTTATATATTTATCTTACGATGCCAATAGTTAGGAATGGAGCACTCTGTTTAATACTACTCCTTTCACCTTGTTACAATAATCAGGTAACCTTGCCTCAGTGAGTTTTGCATAGAATTGTTTTTTAAGTGATATTCTTTTTTGTTGTTTCTTTTTTATGTTTTAAAAATAAATTTCCAATGAAAAGTACCATAACCAAAATACTTTGATTTACAGATTATGGACAGTTGGCCCGGGTATGACTTGAATTTATTCACATACCCACAGCACTATTATGGAGATTTGGATTATGTCCTTATACCTCATGGCGTCATCGTGGACAGGTGAGTGTGATTTTCTGGGTTAATCATGGTCCTGCACTCAGCTAGCCCAGTTTTGGGTGAATCATGTAATATATTTTAGGACCCTGTTCCTGATTTCCTTTTTATAGATGTGGAGAGAAGTTTTATAGGGTAGAAAATTTGAAATAAAATGAATTTATACTTTAACGGAATGGTTTTCCTGGGCATTTGTTCAGGAGAATGTAATTATAAAGAAAGTTATTACTAATAATAGCCTTAAAATAACAATGTCCTGGCTCGGCACCTATGGCTCAAGTGGCTAAGGCACCAGCCACATACACCTAAGGTGGTGGGTTCGAATCCAGCCTGGGCCCACCAAACAACAATGATGGCTGCAACCAAAAAAAGTAGCCAGACGTTGTGGCGGGTGCCTGTGGTCCCAGCTATTTGGGAGGCGGAGGCAGGAGACTCACTTGAGCCGTGCTTGGAGGTTGCTATGAGCTGTGATGCCACGGCACTCTACCCAGGGTGACAGCTTGAGGCTCTGCCTCAAAAAAAACAATGTCCTAAGATGGGTTTTCCATGGAATATAAGGCTTCTCCTTGAGGGGAGTAAAGTTCCATGATCCAATAAATGTGGGAAAAATTTGTATTTCCCAAAATGCTAAATTTTGCAATTTGTAATGCAAAGCAATCATTAACATGTTGAAGGTTCTGAAATAATAACAAAAGAAAGAGAGAAAGCAAATAGAAAGAAATTAATTTGACTTTAACAATTAAACCAACTTATTTGTGCAAAGAGAGATTTTGTACTCAGTTCACCTCTTCATAACTCTCAGAAGTGATTTCCCTTAGCACCAATTTGGGAAGCCCCTCATTGAAACAAATTCCTGCTTTTCTTATCTGGATTTTGTGATTTCAGTTAATTGCATTCTGATCTAGAACATGATTGAATCCTAGGTAAGATTACTCTCATCCTATAGGAGAATCCGTCAGTGAACTTGTCAAAATGTATATACTTAAACTTTATGTCAAAAAATTCTCTATCAGTGCTCTTGGGTAGGGCTGGGAATGCCCCTCCTCACCATTGAAATAAGTTTATTAAGATATAATTTACTTACTACTGTACAAAATTCACTCATTGCAAGCAAATGATTTAATGACTTTCAGTAAATTTTTATGGTTTGGCAACCATCACCACAAACCAGTTTTAGGACATTTTCATTATCCGCAAAAGTTTGTTTATAGTAATTTCTGCTCTCACCCCCAGCATTAGGAAGAGTCACTAATCTGCCTTCTTACTCTGTAAATTTGTCTTCTCTGGATATTGCATATAAATGAAGTCATAAAATATCTAATTATTGATTCATTGGTTGATAGACATTTGATTTCTAATTTTTGGCTATTGTTAAGAATGCTCTAGGAATATTCACATGTAAGTCTTTGTGTGGATTCACATATAAGTCTTGGATGGATTTCTTGAATTCTGAGTTTTCAGGTAAGTTTAAGAAACTGTCAATTATTTTTCAAAGTGATTACGTCATTTTATATTCCCACTAGCAGTATATGAGGGTTCTAGTTTCTCCACATACCTGCCAATGTTTACTATTGTCTGTCCTTTTGATTACAGCCGTTCTCTCAGATTTATAATGGTATCTCATTGTGATTTTAATTTGTATTTTCCTAATCATGAGTGTACTTGTTGGATATTCATATGTCTTCTTTGGAGGGAGGCCTATTTAAGTCTTTTGCCAATTTTTAATTTCAGTGGTTTGTCTTCATATTGAGTAGTGAACTCAATATTGTTTATATATTCTATATACAAGTCCTTTATCAGATATGTGATTTGCAAATATTTCTCCCCAGTCTGTGGATTGTCTTGTCATTTTTTTATTGGTATCTTTTGAGAAGAATGTATAATCTGTTGTTGTTAGATGAAGTATTCTATACGTGTCAATGAGATTCAGTCGGTTGATGATACCGCTCAGTTCAACTAAGTCCTTTCTTACTTTCTGACAGTTGAATCTGTCAGTTACTAATAGTGGGAATGTTGAAGTCCCTAAATGCAATGGTAGATTTGTCTATTTCTCCTTGCAGTTCTATCAGTTTTTTGACACTCTGTTGTTTGAACCATACACATTAAAGATTGTTATGTTTTCCTGGAGAATTGACCTCTTTCTCATTATGTAACATCCCTCTTTATTCCTTTTTTTTTTTTTTGGCCGGGTGGTGGTTTGAACCCGCCACCTCCGGCATATGGGGCTGGCGCCCTACCCTTTTGAGCCACAGGCACCACCCTCTCTTTATTCTTAATAATTTTCTCTACCCCATAGTTGTCTCTGTCTGAAATTAATATAGCTACTCCATCTTTCTTTTGATTATTCTCAGCAAAGCATATCTTTCTTTATCCTTTTACTTTGAATCTATCTGCATCTTTATATTTTAAATGTGTTCCTTGTAGGCAACATTTAGTTGGGTCCTTTTGTAATCCCCATTAACAGTCTCTGTCTTTTAATTGGTGTATTTAGACCATTCATATTTAATGTGATTATTGATATAATCAGTTTAGTATCTATCATATCTGTAACTATTTCCATTCATTACTGTCATTCCTTGTTTCTTTCTTTTTTTTTTTTTTTGAAACAGAGTCTCAAGCTGTCACCCTGGGTAGAGTGCCATGGCATTGTAGCTCACAGCAACCTCCAACTTGGGCTCAAGCAATCCTTTTTACCGCAGTTTTTCTATTTTTAGTGGAGACAGGGTCTCACTTTTGCTCAGGTTGGTCTCAAACTCATGAGCTCAAGCAATCCACCTCCCTCATCCTCCCAGAGTGTTAGGATTACAGGCTGAGCCACTGTGCCTGGCCTTGTTTCTTTTTTGTCTTCCACTCTATGAAATGTATCTCTCTCACAATGTTTCACCTCTGATGACTGTGCAGTTTATTTTTCTTGTTTTTATTTTTAAACCTTACTGACTACGTATGGTTTATCCTGTGTCTGAATAGCTTAGAGTTGAGTCCACAATTGCTTACAAGTTGTATTCAAACACTTTGAGCCAGTAAAGTTTCTACTCTCTTCTGACGGGGATGTGTGAGGGAGCTGGCAAGCATAAAAAAATTTCTTTCAAGTCTTCTAGGCTTTTATTTTCCCTCTCTGTGTGTCCTCTGCACATGCACATAGCCTCCATTGTCAAAGGATATGTGGGTGGCTTAGGCTCACTCTAGTCTCTGTTGTACATACGCATGGCCTCTGGTCAACTTGAGATACACAAAGAACTGATTGTATCCCCCTGCTGTATGACTGTCAGCCTCCCTCCCCAAACTCCCTATTAAATCCCCAGCTATCCTCCCAGTTCATTGCTCAAAGTGGATCACACCTCAGGATAATTGAGCTGTGCTACTGAGATGGCCATTGTAGCTTGTAGTGTTCCCAATCAAGTGAGCTTCCTTTGGCAATTCTGGGGGTTGGGGTGATGGGAACATCCCCAGGCCAGAATGCCAGAGACTCATGCCATTTCTCTGTGTTCATGATTAAATACTTCTCAGTTTGTTGTATGCCTTTCGTTGATTTCCAGAGTGCTAGATAGTTGTTTTTGACCTTTTTGTCCAGATTTATAGTTGTTTTTTGAAGAGAGGATATATTGACCTCCTTACTACACTGTACTGGAAACAATATCGCTTTTTAAGGAGCATGCCAGATACTCTGATATACATTTTTTGATGATCATATTTTGAGAAACATTGCCTGAAACTGTGGTTACCATTCTAAAGGTGTATGTACATTTTATACATATATAAAATGTATTATGTGTGTGCATGTTACATATGTAGAATATATGATTTTAGATAATTCAGTTCACCTATTTAGATTTAATTCTATTTGACATGCCAGTGGGGATTTATTTATATATTTATTTATTTATTTTAGAGACAGAGTCTCACTTTATCGCCCTTGGTAGAACACTGTGGCATCACAGCTCACAGCAACCTCCAGCTCTTGGGCTTAGGCGATTCTCTTGCCTCAGCCTCGCAAGTAGCTGGGACTACAGATGCCTGCCACAATGCCCACCTATTTTTTTGTTGTAGTTTGGCTGGGGCCCAGCTTGAACCCACCACCCTCAGTATATGGGACCAGTGCCATAGGCGCTGCCTGGGGAGTTTTATTTTTTTAAAGCATGTACCTTAGATCCTGTCTCCATTTCAGGTTTTGATGTTATATAGTATATAAGCAATGGACTTATAGACAATAAACAATTAGAAAATACAAGGGTACTTCCAAATGAAGTATCAGGTGGCAGGGCTGCTGCAAGATCACACTGCCCAATTATACTGCACAACCCCAGGGGGCGTCCTTTACTTTGCGTTCCATGGAAATGCTGCCTCCTGCTGAGGTACTCTGGGGCAGCTTTCACATAGGCAATGCACTATCTTTGTCAAATATAAGTTACCTATTATTTTTTTAGATAGTTACAATGGTTTTGACTTTTCCTCCAGTCTCCTGTAATGCTATAAGTAGGTGAGTCACTCTCTATTTCCTTTTTTCTCTACTATAAAGTGAGCATAATATCCCCAGATAGTATCATAACATTGTTAAGGTTATAACAACCAGGCTTTGTAGTAACAAAATAATAGCACTCCTGATTTTTGACATTATATTTTACACCTTAATAATTTTTGTGACATAGAGAAACAAGAATTTGTTTTGAACATGCTCTCTGAGCCCAACTTTAACAAAATTTTTCTGTCTGTAGGTTTGTGTTTCCTGAGCTTTTCTCCACATCCCCCTGAGTGACCTGCTATGCATAACACATCATGCATTTATATTAAAGCAACAGAAATATTAAGAAAAGGTTGTGGTTTAATGTGTGTATTTGTTATCCCTTACTGCTTTCAGAATTGAGCGGCTGGCTAAGGATATTATGAAAGACATAGGATATAGTGACATCATGGTCCTGTGTGTGCTTAAAGGAGGTTACAAATTCTGTGCCGATCTTGTGGAGCACTTTATGAACATCAGCCGAAATTCAGATCGATTTATCTCCATGAAGGTTGATTTCATCAGACTAAAAAGTTACCGGGTAAGTTGTTCCAAGTTCCATTTTCATTGCACAGTATTTCGATTTAACAGTGCTCTAGAATAAAAGAATCAATAATGTTATACAAATGAAGAGTATAAGTTTTTTTGTTTGGGGTTTTTTTTTTTTGAGACAGAGCCTCATGCTGTCACCCTGGGTAGAGAGCTGTGGCATCACAGCTCACAGCAACCTCAAATTCCTGGGCTTAAGTGATTCTCTTGCCTCAGCCTCCCAAGTAGCTGGGACTACAGGCACTCGCCACAAGGCCCAGCTATTTTTTGATTGTGGTGGTCATTGTTGTTTGGCTAGGATAGATTCAAACCCACCAGCTCTGGTGTATGTGGCTGGCGCCTTAGCCACTTAAGCAAGTTTTTTGTTTTTGACTCATCACTATACAAACAAGGATGTAAGGTTTTTTCCTAATTTGTTTAATTTGCAAGAATACTACAACCTACTATAAGAATTCAAATGGGACTCGGCGCCTGTGGCTCAAGTGGCTAAGGCGCCAGCCACATACACCTAAGGTGGTGGGTTCGAATCCAGCCCCGGGCCTGCAATGAAAGCTGCAACCAAAAAGTAGCCGGGTGTTGTGGTGGGCACCTGTGGTCCCAGCTACTTGGGAGGCTGAGGCAGGAGACTTGCTTGAGGAGGTTGCTGTGAGATGCGATGCCACGGCACTCTACCCAGGGTGACAGCTTGAGGCTCTGTCTCAAAAAAAAAAAAAAGAATTCAAATAGTATTCTTTGGGGTCAGTGAGGGGACCTTCTCTCTGTTTCCACATATATGGAAAGAGTCTTCAGGAATGATTCATACATTCTTTTATGGTGATAAAGCAGAGTGGTTAATTCCTGGTGCCCAGCCTCACAAATGAGCATGGTCAGTGTGTAAACACTGATGTGTTTCCACCCTGGATGTCACTGTTGGATGTGGAGACCTGTGGCAGGGTGTTCAGCACAGAGAATGAGACATAGTACTTAGGTAGCTGCGGTCATGGCCTGGAGTTATTGAAGCCTTGCAATGCTTTTTGATTTAATGTATCGTAAAAAGCATTCAGACTTACTCTTGGGTGAAGAACTCTTGGGGTCAAACCATGAAAATATTCTCATTGACTAAATTAGCATGTCACATTTTAATTCATTAATCACCCTTTGAACTGGGTCTCTATTGCTTTGTGACAAAATCACACCCAAGCTTAGTGCCTTATATTTATCATTTTATGGTTTCTGCAGGTCAGAAACCTGGTCACAGCATAGCTGGGTTTTCTGCTCAGAGTCTTATCCGCCTGAAATTGAAGTGTCAGCTTGGGTTTTGATATCGTCTGAGGTTTGGGGTCCTCTTCCAAGATCACTGGCTGTTGACAGGATTCAGGCCCTGTTTCCTGCTGGAGACCACACTGCTCCTTGAGCTGCCTCAAGTGTTTTGTTCACTGGCTCCTCCAGGAGTTGACAACACAGTTAATAGTTTGCTTCTTCAAGCCCAGTGGAAGAATCTTGGCCTTTTGCCTTTTGTTAAATATTGCCTCATGAGATTAGGTAGTTGGCCTTTAGATGGCCTCAAGTCGACTGACAAGTCAGCTAGTCTTGGGAATGAATTTCCCCCATATTTATGAGTCTTGCTCACACTCAGATGGAGAGGATTATATAGGGCACGTACACCAGTGGACAGCAATCTTGAGGGACAAGACTACCACATTCTTTACCTCACTTCTAGAGAAGCTGGCACATTAGTTCTTATTTCTTAAAATCTCCTGTTTTCCTCATGACCTCTCAGGCCAGGGCAAAGCTAGTTTTTGTAGACACCTTCGCCCTAATTTCTTAGGTTTATCCTTTTCCGAGAACCTTTTCTCTCTTTATATTCCGGTGCTTCCTTCTTACCTAGTTGGATAGGTATCTCTTTGTGGTTTTAATTTGCATTTTCCCAGTGAATAATGCTCTTGGGATATATTTTCACTTGCTTATTTGCTGTTCATGTAGTATTTCAGATGCAGTGTTTGTTCAGATATCTTCCTCATTTTTTAAATTGGGACGTTATTATTGAGTTTTGAGAGTTCTTTGTGTGTTTTGGCCATGAATCCTTTATTAGATATGCATGTTGTATATGTTTTCCTGTAAATGAGCTGGTTTTTTTTGTTTTCATACCATTGTGGGTTTTTTTTTTTTTAAAAGAACATAATCTAGTTTTTCTCTTTTGATGTATCTAAAAAGTCTTTCCCTAATTGAAGGTCATAATGATTTTCTTCTTCTTCTTCTTCTTTTTTTTTTTTTAAAAAGCCATGTTGTGTTAATTTTTTTAATGTGGTATAAAGGTCAAAGACTCCTTATTTTTTTTAGCATGTGAATGTTCAATTATTTCAAAATTATTTTCCAAAAAGACTATCCTTTTTCATTGAATTATTTTTGGTCTTCCATTGAATGTCAGCTGACTGCATATGTGCATGTGGGTCTATTTGTGGAAACTATCACTTCTGTTCATTTGTTAATGCCACACTATTTTGATTATTGTAGCTCAGTAATAAATCTGGAAATTAGGTAATACATATCCTCCAACTTTGTTCTTTTTCAAACTATTCTTGTTCTTTGCCTTTCCATATAAATTTTAAAATCATGTTGTTGATTTCTACAAAATAACATGTTAGAATTTTTACTGAGTTTGCTTTAAATCGATCAGTTTGGGGAGAATTGGCATCTTAACAGTATTTATTCTTTCCATTCCCTGAACAGGGTAGATATCTCCCAACATGTTTTCATCTTATTTAATTTCAGTGTTTTCTAGTTTGTAGGAGTCACATCTTAGATACATTTGGTCACATTTATACTTAAATTTTTTTTTTTTTTCGAGACAGAGCCTCAAACTGTCCCCCTGGGTAGAGTGCCATGGCATTACAGCTCACAGCAACCTCCAACTCCTGGGCTCAAGCGAGTCTCCTGCCTCCGCCTCCCAAGTAGCTGGG